ATAACTTAGGTTTTTCTTCCTCCAGCTGGAGGAACAACTGTTCAGGTACATACATTTGCATAACATAGTGTTCCATGTACCTCTGTAGTTGGACCAAGCAGGTTATCCATTTCTTGTAGTGCACCAAGCCCTGGGGCAGGAAAGCATCCAGTGGTCAGAGATACTTTTATCTAGTCCTTTCCACCAGTGTTGACAAAGAACTTGGAAGTGCCCACTTGAGAAAGGGACAGGGCACACAGGGCTCCGGTGACCATGGCAGCTCCTCATCCAGGTCAAAGACTAGGCCCTCCCAGGAGATCCCCCTCGGGTAGTCACAGGCATGAGTAGTTTTCAACACCAATGGGGTCTCCTCAGGAGGAAAGCAATTAAGTAAAGGTGGTTGGGTGATGTCCGGCACAGTCCATGAGGGAGAAAGCAGTGCTGTCTGAAAAGTCTCTCTTGGGGAGGTCCAGGGCTGGAGGAGGCAACAGTTCCTCTAAGATTACCTCTAAAGGGCATCAAAGGTCTTCCTGGAAGGCAGTGGAGTCTGATGGACAGTTCCAGGACAGCAGCTCAACCCCTGGCCCGGCAGGGGAGGCCATCCTGGTAAAGTAGCTCTTAGGGCAGAGAATCTTCACCAGTGGCTCATTTGGACTGTTGTTTCTGGTGCTGACTGTCCTTGGGAGATCGTTCTCTAGGCAGCTCTTCCTCAAGCATTTTCTGGAATAGCAGGGTGTCACAGCTGTAGCAGCAGGCCTGAGGGGCGAGTATTGTCAGACGCCTTCAACAGGTAGGGCGGATGACTCAGAGTTCTTCTAGGGTGCCTGAGCAGCAGAGAGTAAACCCGTAAGCAGGCTGATACTGAACTGCGGGGTCGGTAAGTACAGGAATTCCCTTCCAGAGAAGCTGTTGGCTGGCCATAGTGTCTGATAGCAACACACCTGGAGCATTTGAGCATCTTTCCGGGTTTTGTTGCTATATATGCCCCTTATCAGGTCATCTGCCAATCCGGTAAGGGTACCTCATGCAGGAGTCAATCAGGAAGCAGACATGTTTAGCCACGTACATTATTGCTGGGCAAGCCTAGACAAGATCTAACTAGCTAGCTAATGCTATGGTCTTTTTAGAGGTAGTCTCCAGTCATATGCAGTAGGTGTAGCCCCACATTTGGCACTAAGTAGTAGGGCAGGTGGATTTCACTCTTCCACTGTTCCCCTCCTTGTTGGGTGCCAAGTGTTGGTCACATGAGAGGCCTACCTCAGGGTGGGTTTTTCTGGACTATGCTAGGCACCTTGCCCAATGCCCTGGGACAAGATAGGGGGTTGCCTTCAGGGATAGCTCAACCTTAAGGTGTACCTCCAACTCATAGATGGCTATACACTCTGTACACTTGAATAATAAATTGCCCTCCAGTTAACTCTCTTGTCCCCGTCTCATCGTATACCTTCACTGTAACTTGTTACATTTAGGAGGGATACACCAAGCCTTTGCCCTCTTCATCTGTCCAGTGTATTGCCACTACCTCACACCTAGAAATGTATTGGAGCCCCGACTAGCACCTAGCATGGGTTACACGCGTGCTCTATTAACTCTTTCTTTCAAACTTAGTGCACAAACTGGGGGCCTCTGAGCGCTGATCTGCTCCTATTGATATGGAAGACGGACCGCCAGGGGAAATAATGCTGACAACAACTCCTTCATTACAAGAGGCTGTCCCACTTCTCACAGGCACATGCTTCATGACAGGCTGCCTGTGAAACCTTCGTTATCCTTGGTAACCATTGCTGTCTTAATACAGCAATGTGTCTACAGACCCAGGTTGGAAGCTACATATGTGTGCTGGTTACTTGCATTCACCCCTTTAGTAACATCAGACTAGGCAGGGACAAGTTTCAAAAAGCTTTACTGAAAACTCTTAGCATAACAGTTTCAAAACAAAGTGCACAGTCCTTCCCTAATGTCCTTAATCCCTAACTCAGGCTTTTGGCTGGCCCAGAGTACCTGCACAGGTAAGAGTCTATGCTTGGTTGAGTTCATGTTGACAGTATCCAGGGCTGGCATCTTCAGGGTAGACTACTGATGCCAGCAGTCCCCCTATATTGGAGAAGGTGAATATTGGATAAATTATTGGAGAAAACAAAGGCCCAGGAAACAGCAGCACAATAATTACTCCATCCTTCTTGGCCAGGAAAGCATCTAAACAAACCAGTAGTAGGCAACCTGCCTACAGGAGAATTGACTAATTTTCTTTCTTTCCACCCATTGTGGAAGGAAAGAAAATTGCATAATATATGACCTGCTTTAACTCTTGGGCAATTCAGTGGTGTGACTTAAATAGGGTTCATTCAGATAGAGACCAGTGGAGTATCAAAAGGCCCTGTACTAGGTCCTGTACTAGTTAACCACTTGCCCTCCAGAGGATTTACACCCCTTAATGACCAGGCCTCTTTTTGCTACTGGGCGCTGCACTAATTCAACTGATAATTGCGCGGTCATGCAATGCTGCACCTAAACGAAATTTACGTCCTTTTTTTCACACAAATAGAGCTTTCTTTCGGTGGTATTTGATCACCTGTGCACTTTTTATTTTTTCATGTTATAAACAAAAAAAAGACCAAAAATTTTGAAGAAAAACAATATTTTTTACTTTAAGCTATAAAAAATATATAGTAAACTCAAAGTTAGTTATAAATTTAGGCCAAAATGTATTCTGCTACATGTTTTTGGTAAAAAAAAATCCCAATAAGTGTATATTGATTGCTTTGTGTGAAAGTTATAGCGTCTACAAACTATGGTATAGATACTGCAATTTACGCCATTTGTTTGCTATACAGCGCTGCGCTAGTTTGACAGACAATTGAGCAGTCATGCAATACTGTACATAAATGAAAGTTACATCCTCTTTTTTCCCACAAATTGAGCTTTCTTTCGGTGGTATTTGATCGCCTGTGCGTTTTTTATTCTTTGTGCTATAAAAAAAAATGCTGACAATTTTGAGGGAAAAAAACAATATTTTGGACTTTTTGCTATAAAACATGTCCAGTAAAAAAAAAATTTAAAAATCAAATTTAGTCATAAATTTCTGCCAAAATGCATTCTGCGACATGTTTTTGCTACAAAAAACCCCAATACGTATAAATTAATTAGTTTACGTGAAAGTTATAGCTTTTACAAATTGAAGGAAAGATACTGGGATTTTTTATTTTTTTTTATACTAATAATGGCGGCGATCAGCGACTTATGGCGGGACTGCGGCGGACATTCTGACACTGGGGGGGAACTGACTTGGGGTCACTTCCCCAATGACACCAATACAGTGATCAGTGCAAAAAAAAAAAACACTGACACTGTACTAATGGCACTGGGGAGGAAGGGGTTAACTTTATTATTCAGTGAAAGGATTAACTGTGTGAGGGGAGTGTTTTACTAGGGGGCGGGGGTGTGTACTGCACAGAGACACACTGATCCGGACAGATAAACTCTTCTGTCCCGATCAGCATGTCAGGAGCTGTCAGGGAACTGACAGAAAGTACAGCTACTGCAGCTGTGCTATCTGTCACTGATTGCCGCTAATCGCCGGGACATAGCTGGTAACGACCGGCTGTGACCCGGCGACTGACATCCGCGGCCGTGATCGGTGGGACAGGTAGGGCGGCAGCGCGCCTCGCGCGCCTTCTACCTGTTTTGAAAACACACGTTTTAAAATGTGGTTTTGCCCAGCCGTGCCGCCGTGCCGCCCTGCCGCCGTATTTCTACAGTGGCTGGGCGGCATGTGGTTAATCTATTTAAAGAATGAGCATATATATATATTATATAAAGAAGGAGCAAATGACATAAGTGAACACACCCATGTGCATGAAACCTTATAGTTTCTTTTTATTTTGTTAAAAAAAACATTCATTAATGCTATTTATTTAATATCCATTTACAGTCAATCAACATTTGTCTGTTACTAAGATTCATACCATTATTGTTTTTCAGGAACAGTGCACAGAAGACAATGTCTAATGGTGAAATGTGGCTTGTCGTAGCCATTGTCGTAATGTTCATAAGTCTGGTGGCCTTAAGCATCTGTTGTCGGTTTTACATCAAAAGTCTGTATATCAATTCAGTGTGTTTATTTATCATCAGTCTCCTAACTAACATTGCTTATGTGGATTAACTGCTGTTAAGTGTTTAAAGTCATGTGGTTACATATGGTTAGGGCTTTTTTTTCAGCTGGAATTTAGTGGAACCCCTGCTGCCTGCTTACCACTATCACTTGTAAACACAGAAGTCCGGCATCTGTGTTTAAAAGTGGCAGCTTGTCTCTGAACGGCTCCCATAGATCAGATCTCCTGAGCAGTTCCCACTGAGTGCAGGATGGTAACAAGGGAAATGAAGGTGCCCGGATGCCGTCACACCACTGCATGATCTCCCTGCAAGTGAGAGAGGTAGAGCCAGGTACAGTGTGGGGGGAAGTATTACAGAAGAAGAGGGGTTAAAGTGAGATGTGGATGGGGAATGCAGAGATACATAAGCAGTTGTGGAGGAAGGCTGAACTCTGCAGTCTGTATGCAGCGCGCCCCCCCCCCTGAACTCTGCACCCCCCGAACTCTGTGCGTAGCACAACTCTGGACTTTGTTTTTAACTGCTAGACTACAGGGCACTTATACCCCCTTCCTGCCCAGGCCAATTTCCAGCTCTCAGCGCTGTCACACTTTTAGTGACAATTGCGCAGTCATGCAACATTGTACCCATATGAAATTTTTATCATTTTTTTGGGACAGATAGAACTTTATTTTGGTGGTATTTAATCACCTCTGGGTTTTTTATTTTTTCTTAAACAAACCAAAAAAACCACTGAAAATTTTGAAAACAAAAACTTTTTTTCTTAGTTTTTGTTATAAAATTTGTAAATACGTGATTTTTCTCCTTCACTGATATGTGCTAATGAGGCTGCAGTGATGGGCACTGATAGGCTGCACTGATAGGTGGCACTGATGAGGAGGCACTGGTAGGTTGCACTGATGGGCATTGACAGGCATCACTGATGGGCACTGAAAGGCAGCACTAATACATGGCACTGATAGGCGGCACTGACTGGCACTGTTAGGCGGCACTGACTGGCACTGATAGGCGGCAATGACTGCGCACTGATAGGCGGCACTGACTGGCACTGATAGGGCACTGACTGGCACTGATAGGTGGCACTGATTGGCAGCACTGATAGGTGGCACTGATTGGCATTGATAGGTGGCACTGACTGGCACTGATGGGTGACACTGAAAGGCAGCTCAGATGGGCACTTATATGTGGCATTGATGTGCACTGGTACTCACTGATATGTGGCATTGATGTCGCACTGATGGGCACTGGCACGAGGCACTGATGAGCACTGACAGAAGGCACTGATGGACATTGACAGGCTGGGGCTACACTGATCATTAGGGCACACTGATCATCAGTGCCCTGATGATCAGTGTACATGTTCCCTCCGCGGAAAGCCGATTACCGTCTCTCCTCTCCTCTCAAGCTGTCAGCGTGACAGCTCGAGAGGAGAGAAATGCCGATAACCGGCATTTCCCTGATTACATGTGATCAGCTGTGATTGGACACAGCTGATCACATGACAGAGCCGACATCTTCAGCTCTTTCCATGATCGATGATCCGCTGTGTCTGAGGGACACAGCGCACCACCGATCGCCGCGCTGCACGCTCCGTGAGCCACGCATGCGCGGTGAGAATGGGAATACATCATATGACGTCCTCCCAGAATGAGAGAACCACCTTGTGTCCATCATATTACTATATGGTGGGTGGGGGACCCCCCCCCCCCCCCCCCCCCCCCTGAACTCAGGAAATATGGTATATTTCCTATCTATTTAATAATGCTAGCAGCATAATTATTTGAAATAATCAATGTTGATTGAAAGAGTGAAGTTTCACTCTAAATAGTTTTACTTCAAATATGCATGTGCAAGGAAAAAAAAAAACAACATGAGAACATATCCTGCAGTGGACATAGGTTTATGCCAGCCCACTTCAACTAGTATTTCAAGTCCTGTTTGTCTGCTAACACAGGGATTTTTGCTGATTTTACTATGAAATGATCTAATCCTTCAGTTGTAATTACTGTTCACATTACCTAATATTTGCAAGAAAATAAATAATTGAAACAAGTAAAAAAAATGCATGAAAGTTACCCAAAGACATTAAAGTGTTACTACACAACACAACATTAAAATCAGTCTATATATGTAGTAAATCTTGCTTGGTATACTCAATGTAAGGGGGGTCATCCTCTGCATTGTGTAAAAAGGCTGTTTGTCTCATCTTTTCTGATTCTCCCCTTCTTCCACAATCCCCAATCCATCTGCTGATAGAACAAAACCTGGAAGCTGTGCATGCTCAGTTTGGTGTGTATTGCTGGAGAGGTTTGGGGTTTTTTTTAATGGGAGAGTGCATGTGGTCAGCACAGGGCCAAAAAGCACTGTCCAGATAGAGGATCAGGGGTCCTGTTGCCTCATAGGACAATCAGGGGAGAATGAAAACTCCTCCTACAAGCTTTAACCAGTGCTCTGCTGGACACTGATAGAAATCACAAGACCACTCTAACTGCTGATGAGAAAAGGTATTTAGCAGTTTACATTTACTAAAATAATTGCATTTCCATGTTTTGTGTACTGTGGGAGGCCAGATATAGTGAATGCAGGGTCCTGGGTTTAGTAACACTTTAAATGAAAATTGCCTGATACCTGCAATTTTAGAGGTTGTATAGGATGGCAACAAAATTCCCCTTCACTGGAGAAAAAACACCTGAATGGAATTTACTGTGTAAAAGGTTTCCATGAGTTTAGAGCGGTGCCAGGGACTTGAGCAAACTGCTAAAACATGTAAACCCATTACATTAGAATGTGCACATTCATGAACATGTATGCAGATGATATACTCTTTTATATTTCAAACCCTAGGGTTACATTACCGGTTGCGTTAGAGGAGTTAAGGCGGTATGGGAAACTATGTAACTTTAAAATGAATACATCTAAGTCAGGGTTTCTGAATTTAACGGTGCTGCGGAAAGAGCAGCAGGCAATTCAGCCTCAGTTTTCTTTTGTCTTTTGTAAGAAGGAATTAGGGTATCTTGGAATTAAATTAACAACATCTTTGGAGGCCCTGAATAGGGCTAATTATTTTCCTCTACCTAACACGATCAACGAGAACTTAAACTCCTTGAGATATAGGCCCCTCTCTTGATTAGGTAGAATAAACACATTAAAAATGAATCTTTTGCCCAAGTTAATATATAAATTCCAAATGGTTCCAATCATTCTCCCTCAGGAATATTTTAGGAAAATTAGATCTATCATACTAAAATATATATGTGCATGTAGGTGACCAAGGATATCTTATGCCATGTTGGCAAAAGAGAAGAAAGCAGGGGGGTTAGTGGTACCTGATTTTAAAAAGTATTATCAGACGGTCACTATTCCACAAATAGCTGATTGGATGCACAAAAAGGAAGGTAAAGGTTGGGTAGGGATAGAGCTTGCACAAAGGAAAGTAGATTTAGGTAGGATGGCCTGGATTCCACGGGTGTATCAAGATTTACTCAGACTGGTACAAATACACTGAGAACAAATGTCTTTAGAATATGGGATGGCCTTTATAGGCATTATCACTAGGAGTATAATTCACCTTTTGTATTTCAATGGTTTTTATTAATTAATAACAATTAACACAGGAGCAACAAATCACGCCCATACAGGGGCTATCAATTGCACATAAAAGAAGTAGAAAATTAAAGAAATCAGTGCTCTAACACCAACAGGGCAAAAGATCGCCCACGCAGGAGCTATCAATGGCACTTAAATAACAAAACATAAATATAACACTGAGAATAACTCAGGCTAAAGGCAGCTATCCACTGCCACACCAAAAGCAAACAGAAAGAAAAAAAAAAAAAAAAGGGGGGGGGGGGGAGGAAGGAGAAGTGGAGAAGTACGAAAGAAAAAAGATAACCAAATAATTCACCTTTTAATATAAAAAAATCCCGATCATGAGAGAATGGAGTTTAAAAATCGACCAGGTACAGTCTATTGAAGAGACAATGTATATAGGAGAGGATTCCTTAGAGAAATATTATGTTACCTGGTGGAAATAGTTGCAGTTCAAGAAATCAAGGAGGTATATGGATATGTTGGGTATATGAAATCAAGAATGGCCTGGGGCAACAACACTTTGCGTATATAGTGGATATGATTCTTGAGACGTTTAGGGAAGGAGTTGGGGTCCCTGAGGGAGGGGGATGTTTTGTTTTTTTTTGTTATTTGGGAAGTGGGGAATTAGAGGGCAAGGGTCATTAGATGGTTTAAGGTGTAAAGATTTTATAAAATGTGATTTGATGATTAAAAGCTTGTGTAATATATTTTTGTTCTAGGAAAAATTAAAAAGAGTAAACAAAGAAAAAAGAATGTGCATGTTCATAAATGAACCAAGAGAAAAAAAAAAACCACTCCAATTAGTTTAAAAAATAAATCATAAATCTGGAAGCTACTGTATATTAAAGGGGGTTGATTTGCTAACAACAAATAGGTTGTTCCCTTTGCAAAGGAAGTTGCGCTGTGCAAGGGAATTTACTAGTGAATTAAGTGAAGTTCTGCCTTCTTCCATCATTTAATCATATGCAAGAAAAGATTTTTTTCTAATCTTCTTCTTTTTATGTAATTGCAAAGTGAAATTTCACCACATTCACTAAACTCTGGGGAAAATTCACTTCCAACTGACGCAAGGCACTATTCCTCCCACTGATATCAATGATGTGGCACTATTTCTTCTAATTCATCAACGACTGGGCACTATTCCTCCTACTGAAACCAATGATGCCACAGTATTCCTCCCACTAATGACAATGATGGGGCACTATTCCTCCCACTGATACCAATGATGGGACACTATTCCTCCCTCTGATACCAATGATGGGGCACTATTCCTCCCTCTGATACAATGATGGGACACTATTCCTCCCTCTGATACCAATGATGGGGCACTATTCCTCCCTCTGATACCAAATGATGGGACACTATTCCTCCCTCTGATACCAATGATGGGCACTATTCCTCCCTCTGATACCAATGATGGGACACTATTCCTCCCTCTGATACCAATGATGGGGCACATTCCTCCCCTCTGATACCAAATGATGGGACACTATTCCTCCCTCTGATACCAATGATGGGACACTATTCCTCCCACTGATACCAATGATGGGGCACTATTCCTCCCTCTGATACCAATGATGGGACACTATTCCTCCCACTGATACCAATGTGATGGGGCACTATTCCTCCCACTGATACTAATGATGGGGCACTATTCCTCCCACTGATAGGGCACTATTCCTCCCACCAATGCCAATGATAGGGCATTATTCCTCCCACTGATAGGGCACTATTCCTCCCACCAATGCCAATGATAGGGCACTATTCCTCCCACTGATACCAATGATGGAGCACTATTCCTCCCACTAATGCCAATCATAGGGCACTATTCCTCCCACTGACACCAATGATGGAGCACTATTCCTCCCACTAATGCCAATGATATGGCACTATTCCTCCCACTGACACCAATGATGGGGCACTATTCCTCCCATTGATACTAATGATGGGGCACTATTCCTCCCACTAATGCCAATGATAGGGCACTACTCCTCCCACTGACACCAATGATGGGGCACTATTCCTCCCACTGATACCAATGATGGGACACTATACCTTCCACTGACACAAATGATAGGGCACTATTCCTCCCACTGATACCAATGATGGGGCACTATTCCTCCCACTGATACCAATGATGGGACACTATACCTTCCACTGACACCAATGATAGGGCACTATTCCTCCCACTGACACCAGTGATAGGGCACTATTCCTCCCACTGACACCAGTGATAGGGCACTATTTCTCCCACTAATGCCAATGATGGGCCACTATTCCTCCCACTGTTACCAATGATGGGGCACTATTCCTTCCACGTATATCAATAATGGAGCACTCTTCCTTCCACTGATACCAATGCTGGAGCACTATACCTTCCATTTCAATGATACCAATGATGGAGCACTCTTCCTCCCACTGATACCAATGATGGAGCACTATTCCTCCCACCAATGCCAATGATAGGGCACTATTCCTCCCACTGACACCAATGATGGGGCACTATTCCTCCCACTGATACCAATGATGGAGCACTATTCCTCCCACTAATGCCAATGATAGGGCACTATTCCTCCCACTGACACCAATGATGGGGCACTATTCCTCCCACTGATACCAATGATGGAGCACTATTCCTCCCACTGATACCAATGATGGGGCACTATTCCTCCCACTGACACCAATGATGGGGCACTATTCCTCCCACTGATACCAATGATGGAGCACTATTCCTCCCACTAATGGCAATGATAGGGCACTACTACTCCCACTGACACCAATGATGGGGCACTATTCCTCCCACTGATACCAATGATGGGACACTATACCTTCCACTGACACCAATGATAGGGCACTATTCCTCCCACTGATACCAATGATGGGGCACTATTCCTCCCACTGACACCAGTGATG